TGAAGGTATTTAAGTAAACAAGGAATAATAGTATGGTTCGAAATCGCCTTAAATCTAGTGAAAATTTACTGCTGATATTAAAAATTTCTACACTGAAATCTGAAATTAAAATTCTAGTCATAATTTAAGTTATACAAATAAGCTAAAATAGATTTTAGCAGGGTATTAGAAAGTTTTTCTTGCCTTAAAATCCACTACTTACTGATTGACTAGATGCATATTTGAAGCGGTATTAAATGAAATAGGATATGATATTAAAAGTAGTATATATCCTGTGAGCATTTTTTGTATATATACACGTATACTTTTATATTAATATTTTATACGTCAGTTTGTAAGAATTTTCCTAACAGAACTAGTTGGTAAACTTCGTATTTATTATAAAGGACTCATATTTTGCGTACATTCAGTTATGATTGCATTAATATTATTATCGTATCAAAAGCAATTATATAATTCGTATCATTTTAAGCCAGTAAATAACTAAAAATATCTGAATTACGATCAAAATTTCAGATTAAGATATTTGCAAGACACGCTTTAGTGATAAAATTTACCTGAAACTTCCTATCCTTTCTCTTAATCATATCTGCTTTCAGCAAGTTAAAGCGATTGAGAAATTATAAATACGAGAAAAACTTGAAGTTTACGCGGTAGTGTTATATCAATTCAGCTGACTAAGAAAAAATGTTCTTGATTGACTTATAATTGATTGGTAGACAGCTTGTAATTGTAATTCTTGATCGTAAAGTAACTTAAGCAACTAAATTTTCAAAAGATGGCAAAAACTATCCTCACGATGAACTGAATTATGAAAATGATGTGTTTCTAATTGCACAAATTCGGCATAATTTACAAGCCATTATCTACAAATTCATAAAATTCTATAGTTGATTAGTTTTTGTTACAATTTAATCATTAATTATTTTCCCTTTTCACGTCATATCTGTGTACTATTTATTAATTGTAAGGGGAAGTTGGGCATGTGTTTTAAGAAATAATACGGCTATTAAAAGTGAAGTTAGCATTGTTTTAATGGAGTTATGCTATGCAAAATTAACTGTCTAATGAATACTGGAATCCAAGTTAGTCGAAAATACAACTTTATTTAATCTATTATATCCTTAGCCACGATAACAGATTCATGTATAGGTAATGCATCGTTACAGCCATTTCATACATATGCTTCGCAGCTGAAGTTCACTTATTATGCCACACTTGAAATTTCGTTTTTTTAACAACAATGTTTCCAATACAGAAAAATAATACTCAAAATTTAGATTCATACTATGGAAATTTCTGCCTCTATCTATTGATGACATTTTTATCTGGATGTAAATAATAAAATCAATGCATTGATGGACTGGCGAATTAATGAGTTAGTTTAATTTAATTAGATTTTCCGAAGCAATTCCATAGAAATTGTTACTGGAATCACCTCAGATAAAAACGTTATATTGTATTTAATCGCTGATTGCAATAATTAAAGTTTTTGCAAGACATGCAAATAAATATTGAATTTTATATCCGTCACAGCGATATTCATTATGAAAGAATTATTTTAAATGCTTTAAAGTTTACGAAGGATGACTACGAATGGAATAATATCTAAAATTAAACTAACAATACATATCTTTCATTATGATTTCGGTTACAAGAATTTCACTAAAAATTCTGTGGCAAAGCAAGTTGATTAATTAAGTTAATTCTTTTAAATATTTTACTCAATATTTTTCAGATTAGAATATTAAGTATCATATTTTATTATATAAATATGCTAACATCATTTATCAATTGAGTTGCAGCGTAATTTTTGAAATCATGATGAAACAAACTGCAATACTTTAGGCTCAATATGGTGCTAAAACGGAGGTAATGAAATATAGATAAATTTTTTTATGTACTCATTACCCTATTCAAGCATAAATGATCAAATTATATAATACGTTTCACAATTATAAATTGTAGGTGTAAATGATCTAGCTGACGATCCGATTTACTAATACATTTATTTGATGTCACCACCATGCTTCAATAATGAGCTACTACTTTTAGAATTGCTTTATTTATCATTAATCAATCTATATATATAGTATACCGGAATTCTTAATTAAAGAAAATCAATAGATTATTGATTAGTATCAAATGTACTAATTTACGAGTATAAAATAAAATTAAAGTTTTTAAAAGTAAATATCGATAGTAGTATAGTATTAGAAAGATAGAAAGGACAGGCAACATTCGTTCTTATTTTCATTCATATCTGTAAATTTGGATCAAATATTATTAATAATGTTATTCTGATTGATAAATTGGTGATTATAGTTATTAACTGCCTTTGACTAGACATTATTGACATAAAGTGGCTATAAGCAGGAAGTCTAACATTTTAGGATTGGAAAGTATTTATGATTATAAAAAGTACCGATATAATTAGGGGAGGCTCTCTCAAGGCTAGTGCCATTAATTAGACCTAGATTTAAACGTAAAATCATTATAAGTTTAATAGGTGCATGTACGAATTTAGTAGACCTTTGCTTAGGCAACCGCTATGGATCAATAACTGGGCTTACTAGAAAAATAGGATATAGCATACAATATCTTGAGATCTTGATATAATACTTTTACTGTTTTTAGAAAATGAATTCTATTTTGCTTAATTTTATCTTTAACTGTGATATTTAACATATCTTAAAGAGTTTTCAAGAACAAACTATTCTTATTAGAGAGTAAACCCACATGTCAACAGAGAAGTTTTTCTTCACTCGATATCGTTCTTTCCCTTACATAATAGCAGGATAGCAATTCGGAAATTATTGTTATAGGCCAATAATTACCGGTTTTTATTACATATTTAAGGCTTACACATTGCCGATTGTATTTGCTCATTGAGACTTTGTACATGCTCATCGAAAGACTGTATACCTACGGCACGTACACTATCTAGATATGTGATACATGCTGTCAGAATTACTAATAACTGACGCAGCGAATATAGAATTTATCATAGCTAAATTTAACGGATACCGGAGCCTTAAAAGCTGCTATTGTGATTATAGTTATAAAGCTTTTAGACTATGCTTTGAAAATAAAAGAATCTTGGTAACCAATTACTTTGCGGGGGATATCAAATAGAGGTATTTAAAGTAATATCATGAAAGTAGAACGTAACTTTTTGTAAAAATTCTTCTGCCACCTTCCGTGAACAATCCTCAATTGAATGAATTAACAACAATGGCTGGAAAGTGCGGACATAACTAGCGCCAAATGACCCCGACAGAGTAGCCTCACTATCGTTCTCAAGTGATCAATCAGGAAAATATACTTATTATGATAAAGTTTTATTGTATGTAAATAATGCTAGACATAAAATACACACAAAATAGTATAAATCATACATAAATGATGATGGCTATTTTTTCTTTACTAGAAAGTTGATTAATTTTATCATCTACTGAAGCTACTTTTTGATGTTTGATTAATTAAAAATTATATTCAGGGATATTGAATATTTCGTAGCATACAAATGATAATGATTTCTTGGTATGATTAGTATATTATCTAGAAAATTAAATTTTCTTTATCGATGATATTTTTGGCGATGTCATAAAACGTTGTTCCTATTGCCAAATACTGTGCTGTGTATACGTAAGTGACATGGTTAATTTATGAACCCAGTGGCTAGTGTTATTATTTTAATGCATGGTTTAGGAAAGGTCTACAAATCTGTGTCGGATAAATTAATGAATTTTGCTATACTTTTATTATAGGCGCCGCTATAATAACTGCGGAAAACCTAATTATGAAATAGTTACTAGGATCAGTACTATTGTACAGAAATATGCTGCTAGACTATACTTTATGTTAACTGCAATGAATCGAGTTCTATGTTTTAGAACTAGGTTTAAAAAGGTACATCTAAAGCTGTAGAATGTTTATGATCTTGCATCATAACGTTAATATGATTGAGTAAAGAAGGCTAACAGTTTTTATTCAAATAGATTTGTACTGATCAAACCTACCCTACTCATTATTTCATGTCTAGATACCCTAAAATGTGGTATATAATATTGAATACTACGACTATTAAAGGATACTGCCAATTTTCAACCGTTTTGTATCTTAAATTTGTAACAGATAATAAAGATTAATAAGAAATTTAGATCAATATATCATATGAACTTAATTTAGCTGATCTTCCTAAGCTCATTATACGAGTATAATGAAAGTTAGATCAGATACAATATTCTATCTGATCCCGAGTACTACAGAAGCATCTGCATATAACGGTAATAAACTATAATAATAAAGATACCTCTAAAGTGTACAAATGATTACAATCTTGTGTCTTAAAGTTAAATGAGATTGAGTAAAGTAGGCTAATATTCTTATTCAAATAGAATTGAAGCTTAAACCTATCTTTGACATTGTTTTAGGTATAAATACCCTAAAATGTTGTATATAGGATTAAAATACTATGGCTATTCGAGAATACTGCTGATTTTTTAGCTGTCTTGTATTCTAAAATTAGAACGAATTATGAAAACGAATAAGAATTTAGATCAATAAATCGTATAAAATTAACTTAGTTGATTATCCTTAACTCATTCTATATAAAGTTGCATCAGATACAATATTCTTCCTGATCTAGAGTACGACAGAAGTATCCACACATGCGGCGATAATAAATTCATAACCTATGACTTCTTTATTAAGTGATGCGGGTACCTTCTGCTTATCTGAAAATGAAGTTGGGCAATATTGAGTTGAGTTGAAGTTGTGATTCAAGCTAGCTAAAGCATGTATATTTCTATCCCTTTGATCAGAAAGTTATCCATCGGATAAGGAGTAGAAGAGGACTGATAATTGAAGCACAGAAACCGACATTTGAAGAATTACCCTAACTAATAGCAAGCTAGAAGCTAGTCTACTAGCTGAACGAAGAAATAGTATAATTGCTCTACGCTATCTTCTTGTGCTATAACTTCGATCATGACACCATGATAATTAAAGCCATTGGCCATATTAAATGTAAATTAGATTGGTATCAGCAGGTTTGCGGAACCGCTAAGGCCTGCTTATCGATGCCTACACTTGATTCTATTAATTGGACGGCTGAAATTTATATAAGGTACTAAATCTAATCAAAGCAATAGCTATGTTAATGCAAAAAGCATTGCAAATAATTTATTTAGTCACGTACTAGTAGACTGGAAGGAGAGATAAATTGTTTTTCCATGTCGAATCAGACCGTTAGGTTATTCCAGAATAAATGATGGAGTAAGAAATATATTCTTTCCTTCCTTCCTAACAATAGAATGATAACGATTAGAATCCTAACTAAGAATTAGTAGATTATAATCTGAAAGGCTGATTCTATCTGATACGGAAGGATTGTGGTAGTAAGAAACACCAGTCATGATATTGAGGTCAGAGGTGTGGCTCCTATCGAACAGAATACAATTTTAGCCGTAGGCGATGTAAGCCCCTGTTGATTGTCTTCTGAAAAAACCTTTTATACCCCAGCACTAAAAGATAATAGTTTCGCATACTAGTCATGGTAATTCTACTGTAATTTGAGTTATTACTTTGTAGATGTACTATAATTCTAGCGCCTTGTCATTCCACCAATGAACTACTTGCAGCTCATAATAATTCCAGAATAATATCGGTAGGTGATGACTTGGGAAGGAATTCTGAATTGCTAATCATTACCCTAGTAAAGGATATTGTAATAGAGGGTATGGTACGCTGTTGCAAAATAATTTCAACTTGATTCTAACAGTCTCACTTCATGACGTGGCTTGCTTAATTTTTAAATGTGGAGAATAAGTAAGAAATTATTAATCAATCCATTTTCTATCGCCTAATTGGTAAGTGGAGCGAATTCTTCTTAAATTTTCCAATTTAGCATTTAAACAAGTCGACTTAAGTCGTAGCTTGTGGTTTTGAGTTATAATTTCAATTCCTTTAATCGTAAAGATTTCAGTAATGATCGTGACAATGACATTATCACAAATTTGTGTTTCTGTCTCTTTTGGATTATGTTGCTATGTAGTAGAATCTTAAAAAGAAGTTATTTTATGGCTCGTTAAATTCACTTAGTTTGCAGAATTAGCTATTACTGACTTAAAAAGGTGGATATAATTATTCGCTAAAATATCACGTAGATGGTTTTTTATAATCTCACAGCAATAGCTATACGATTATCAGCAAATGAATCACGTTAAAATATTACCGATATCTCTTCGTTAAACCCATAAAAGTAAAAACATCTTGTTTTTACCTTTATGGTGAAATCATTGAATATTTTATAGTCGCTATTCCTTTGGTGAAATTGATGTATTTAATTTAAATCTTGTATAACAAGATTGCAGAACATCAATGACATGGTCTTATTTTATTCATAAAGTATCTTTCTCATCTTTTAAATCTCACGTAAATTTATTTGCTAAAGTTTGTCAGTATGTGGTTTTATCTGTAGCGGCAATATCGGAACGTAATGTTACTTATTTCGCTGATGTAATTAGTTCTCTCTATTATGGTTTTACCGCTGGTTCATAGTAGAAGTAGCTCTTTTTATTTACTTTCAAGACTGCCATCAGTTCATATAGGATTATTTGTTATGATAGTTTATCTAAATATATCGAAGCATTGATTCTGTTGTCAAAAAATGCTATAATTCGTCATTTAGAAGAAATTTTAGTTCAGATTACATCGAGTTTCGTCTAATTTGTATAGAGGTAAGAAATAGCACTCAGATTTGTTCCTAACTAGTACTGAGATTACTACTTCAAAGAATGTAATTAGGAATGACATTTTTAACAGTATTTATTAAGAAATATTTTATAATATTGAGATTTTAACCGATATGAAAATTATTAATATTTCGGATCAATTTTAGACGTAAATGTTGTATATTTATCAGAATAAGATTTAATGTAGCTGATAGTTAGGTGATTAAATAACTTCATATCAGTAATAAGAGAAAGTCTTTCAAGTTTTCTCGAAAGCCTCTATTTGAACCTCTATTGATATAATGAACATGCAATCGAGGCAAATTTAACAGCACATAATCAAATTTTGTAGTAAATTGATATGCATTATTTTAATAATGAGATAAAATATTTGCATTAAGAACAATACGAAAGCTTCTAATTAAGCTTCGCTAGTTAATAATATACCATAAGACACACAAGCAAGTAATTTTTTATACGCGTTATACTTTGAGTTTCTCAACGACGATTTTTAAGGCTAAGAGCTGAAATACGGCACTACAGCTCATCAAATGTATTTCTGAAAACTTCATAATATTCTTCCAGAGCTAATAATTGTAATAAAACACAGTCTCAGAAAAGTCTAGAGCCGACAAATTATCTGTTTACCAGTTACTTACTTTAAAAGATTTCGATTTTGCCTAGAGTAATTTAACAAAAGAAATTTAACTAATAAGATCTAGGCAGTTGTCATGACATGATCTCGCTCTTGTCCTACCAATTTTTACTTATGGAAACGAGTCGATGAATCTGTAATATATGTTAGACCCTATTCTTGTCAAAGCAACATGCGAAAATATTGCACTGTAGTTGTAGCAATTTTAGCGCGAATTTGACTCAAGTAATAAAATTGACATTGATAACGGCGAATTTTCTGTAGTGCTATTTCAAAATTTAGAAGCTTACGGTATCAAATTGAGATCGAAAGTGCAGTTGTTCTGCTGGAAATAAATACCGTCTAGGGAGAATAAGGTTTACAATAGAATTAAATCTCTTTATGAACTTACTTACTTAAAATGAAGTATTAAACTAGTGGTTAACCTTGACATTCTTAGGAATGGCGCATAAAATCTGCCTTTTTATCAGTATATACCCATATGAAAATTAAGATAAATTATGCATTTTTTTCTAATACAGCAAGTCTCGTTAGAATTTATTTCCTAATTTTAAATCGAAAAGGGGAAAATTTATCCGGATATAAGTTAAAAATTAAAAAAATGCAAAAAATTAATGTATACGGGACATTGTGAATTTAGATTAAAGTAAGATCAGAAGCGGTTACACGTAATTCACAGGAAAAAGTTAATATTGACAGCTCCAGTAATTGGATAGAATGTATTATTCATATTTGATTATAATAATAAAAATCTTAATTTAATTATTTAAGTGCAATTGCGAATCACTGTCTAGTTTGTAAAATTTTAGTCTAATTTTATAGTAGCATAATCTTATATTACAACTACCTGCTAGATAGTTTAATTTTAAATTCTTAGCAACAATGCGGCCAATTATTTCCAGTAATAAATTAGACCTCGATGGGTAGTTTCTCTGTGTCGTAAATTTCTAAATTAGTTTTAAAAAGTTGTAAGATTACGCATTCAGCGATCCGTTAATAAATTAAACCATTCTGAAGTTGCTCTACAGTGTTAGCAATACAGCTAGATGGAATATTATATCGTTTTAATGTTTATAGATCACGAAAATTGTCATAGTAAACTATCACAGTGACTGGGTTTAAGTTAACATATAGCAGATAATTTAAAATTAGCGCTATACTTATCATATTTGTTGTTTTCCAGATATTTTCGTGTACTAGCGGCATTCCTGCCATCAATCTTGAAGGCGTATCTGCCGATTTCAATCTAGGTTATTAGATCCTATGTCTAAAGCAATTATTACTATGGACGGTACTAGATTACTACAAGTGATGGTAAGTACCACAAACTTTCTAATAATTGAAAGATATTATGAAACTGTGTCGATAATATTATTATTGCTGACTATTTGGGCTGGTTGTACCTATCTAAATTCACAAACTAACTACATACTTATTATCGAGTAAAACTGATATAACTCGATTTAATATCCATTTGTTCAAATCACATCTTCGCTATTATAATGCTGAATTCCGATTTATATTTGAATATCAGACATTCCAAAGACGAGATTCTTAAATTATTTGAGGCAATTTTTCAAACTATATAATAGCGCATTTTAAATGTAACAGATATGGTCTTCTCTTAAATGAATTTCCGTTATTTATTCTTCGATATTCGTTAAACTGCATCTGTATCGCTTTATAATGACCAATAACTTTGTTGTAAATTTCTTTTACCGTAAATTATGTTTGTTACTTATTGTGCCATTGAAATGATGAGTCTACGAGCTGTAGTTGTTTGTGCTAAAGTCTAAACAAATATTACTTAGCTTAATTTATTTATCCAAATTAATAATAATCATAACTGAGCTATTTTATATTTTTAGATAATTTTATTCTGCTGCTTTAATTCGGCTCGATCAGCTGATCCTTGCTTCAATACCAACCACTGTGATACTAAAACAGTTTGCATAGCTAGCAATGCCTCTTCTATGGGATATTTCTGTAAATGCCGTGCTGGTTATTATCCTACGATTTCTTCAGCTGTTGATCCTCACTGCCAACGTAAGTAATTTGTATTAGCAATACAGCTAAATCGGCATAAAAGTATTAATAGTACAACAATTATCCTATTTATTGATACGTTGATCTTTCTTCATACAGAGGTCATGACGGTTAAGGGGACAGTGGGATTTTTAGATAACTATACACCGGCCAGCATAGAAAACGACGTGGTATGTCAGTTTTACGAATAGTATTTGTTATTTTTAGTGTGCTCTACTTGCTACAGTTATAACTCTTGTAATACTTTTCTTTCAGGAACAATTTACCATCTTGAGTAGTTTTCCAGGTCATATGAGCACGCGTTTTCGAACTCTTCGGTAAGGAATTAAATGCTGTAGTATATTTATTGAGTTAAATTTTTAAAGATAAATATGCCATTAAATAGCTTAAAATAGTGTGGTTATTGCTTAACAATGAATTGATGTTTGTTGCAATAATATTTAATTTGTATCATCTTTGCTATAGCTATGAAAAGATTAATAAAACATACTTCTTCTCATAGAATGCCTCCAATCGTTGCCAACTATTACTTGATGTTTCATTTCGACGCAGCGATAGAATATCAAAAATTGAATAAAGACATAAGCACTATGTTATCAACAGATACAAAATATAAAATATTATACGCGGATCACTCTAGTAAGATTCCTACCGTCGGCTCTAAAATATAAATCATACGTATATTGTCGTTACTTATGCTACCCTATTAATTGATTAAGTCGCTCTATGAAGTTTTCGTTCATGAGTTTAGTTCCTAATCATAGTATGAGTTTGTTATCTGCCTTCATGCCGTATTAAATTCAGAAATAATTTATAATTTTACAGGAATTAGTGAGTGTGATTTTAGTAATGATCCTTGCTCCAGCTTAAAACAACTGTGTGTCCCGGATGCTCTCTCGTATTCCTGTAAAAGTTGTGAAGCCGGAGTTCAATTCAATACTACAACTAAGACCTGTCCAGGTAAGATTGTATATCGTTATCGTAAATTCTCAAGAAATTCATTATTAGCTAGTTCTTCTTTACATTAATTTTTCTATAATTAATTTCATCAAATGAATCATAGGCAATAGGAATAGTAACGTAATGGTTATGTAATTGTCATTAGTTATTCATAAGGAATACCGTAAAATAGGGTATTAGAGTAATAAAATAAACGGTAGAAACCGGTATTCTAGGCCATAGTGAAATCTTTTAGATATAGATATTTATCGCTTGCAGTACATATTTTGCAGAATAATGATATAAATATTGGAGAATATACTTTCGCATCTAGGTGAAGTTAAGCCTACACTTCCCCGCAAGACCTGGCCAACATTTACCTGTAAAGACGTTCATTGTGGGTCAAATGCATACTGTAATCCCGATTATTCAAAACCTTTCGGATGGTATTGTAAATGTAATGAAGGCTACTATCCAAATATTGTATCAACTGAAGCAGCTGGATTTAGTTGTAGCTCGCAACCTCTCAAGTTATATCATGGTAATCTATATTATTGATTAGTTAAATATGGAAATGGGCCATTATAATTAATACTCGTGTTGCCACTAGTGTTGTTGTACTAATCTATCTTCAATCACACGTAGAGGGAACCTATGTCGTAGCTACTCTAATCATATCGCCGAGGATTAATTCGACCGCTGTAAAACAGCAGCTGGTATAGTAGATGTGATTTCAATAGCTTTCTCTTTTCATTTTCTGGCAAAAGTACAGTGATGAGGACAAAATGAATTGCGCCACAACCGTGTATAACTATAGTTATTGATCATCTAGGCAACCATGCTTTTCCCGGAGGGTTCAGATTTTGTTGCTAGCGAGATAAAATCGGTTAGGTACGGCATTAATGATACGATTTTATGTGAATATTTATTAATTTTTTTTCCTACTATTTATGTTTTTGGGGATTTTGGTAGGTGATCTCGATAGTATAATATACTTGCTGTTATCGCCTTCTAATCAGAATATTAGGTGCTCTAATGCGTTAAATTTCTATAGGAACTGACACTTAGCTTTTATATTAATTTCAGTTATGGCAATATAGAAGCCGACTTCCATATTAAAATCAACAGAAGCGTTCCAGTTGATTTGAAGAAGATTACTAATTCGATTCGAGCTGCAGTTCAAGTTGCTCAAAATTATACGTTTATACGTGTTCAATATTTTGGTAAGTTAGAAAATGCCTCCGTCCTTAGCTTATAAGTAACTACTATCTGGTTTACTTTCTTCCATACTCAAGAGTAACTCTGACAAAGGATTAATATGTATTTTCTTCAAATCTTGTAATCTTCACAACGAAATTATATCTAGCTTTATTTATATGATTTTGATATTTTCACTAGATCCCAAAATATGCGGTACAGACTATGATCCTTGCTCTGGTCACTCACTGGAATGCGCTCCTAAGAATTACGGTTTCGAATGTCGAAGATGCCCAACGGGTTCTTATTTCCAAGGCTGTTTGAAAAATTGTTCGGGTACGCATACTATCTGATATTATCAAGATGACAAATGACTATTATCGGTACTGGATCAACCATGTTCCCGGAAAATATTAAGTCGAATTAACTCAGCCTTAAGCGAATTATCTTCAGTATTGTATAAAATGCTGCAGTCGCCTATTCTCAATGTTGTCATTTCTATGATTAATTTTCATTTTCATTTTAATATACGTATACAGAAATTGACGAATGTGCTAGCATACCAAATATTTGTAAGGAAAGCGAAAAATGTATCAACACAATTGGAAGCTATTACTGTCTATCAGGTATGATATTACACCCTCTTATGCTTGTATAATAAAAAGGAAGGTAGTTCAAATGTCAATTCAATCATAGAATAGGTTAATACAACTTTATGTAGTATGGTAAGTTTCTATGATCAGAATAATAATTACTAGTAGTTCAGTCAAGTGTAAGACCAATTTATCTGTTTGCTGTATGTCTTATACGTTTAGCTAATGCTACGGAAACCTCTCAAATCCTTCCGACGGCTAATATCTCAGCAACTTCTGCGGACTATATGTCAGGAACAAGCGCAACGGAAGCAACCGCGACTACAATTCCTTCATCAACTGCTGCCTCAGAAATTTTATCAGATTATATCTCAGCAACAGGAGAAGTTAAGACAACGGCGACTCCAATTCTTGCTTCAGCTAATGCCTCAGGAACTTTATCAGCATATATCTCTGCAACAGGAGAAATTGAAACAACAGCAACTCAAATTCTTGCTTCAACTAATGACTCAAAAACTTTATCAGAATATATTTCAGTAACAGAAGATGTTAAAACAACAACGACTCAAATTCTTGCTTCAACTAATATTTCCGAGACTTTATCAGAATATATCTCAATAACAGGAGAAGTTAAAACAACCGTTACTTCAGTTGAAACAGTAATTAAGTCTGAAGAACCGTCTATCGAAATCTTAACAAGCGCTACCAGTGTAATAACATCTTCTGCTCATATCCAATTGGAAAGCTCGAATGTAGACCAAAGTAGTTCCGTCGAAGTACCGGGATCTTCGACAAATTATATTGAGAGTACAGGTCACAAGAGTACAAGCTACTGGAGTGATTCTCATAGTTCAGCTGTATCCATATTACCGGCACCTTCTGAGGTTGATTGGTTAGGCACAGCATTTAATGATGTTACCGTTAGCCCAAGTGAAGTCATCATTATTAATAGTACCGCTACACCCGAATTACCAACTGAATATTGTGCAAGAAATCGTTGTGAGGCCAATTCTATTTGTATAGTAAAGCCTAACAGTCCATCAGGAATTTATTGTCAGTGTGATACAGGATATCGTCCTACGAACACAACTTCCATAGGTCAAGTTGGCTGCAAAGGTAGCGTATTTTTGCTATTTGGGTAAAACATAGTAAGTAGATCAATAGTTCCAACATGCAAATGGTCATGATATACTAAATACCGGTATGTTAATAAATTATATCATAAATCAAAGATAATTAAAGATACTAACACTTACATCTCTAAATCCGTAGATATTAATGAATGCATCATTTCCAAACCTTGTGATCATAAATGTATCAATACTGTGGGCAGCTATTCGTGTTCTTGTCATCCAGGATTCAAACTTGGTAGCGATAATAAAACTTGTGGAGGTACATAGATCCCCTAATTATGATGTGCTGGTGATGAAATTTTATGGATATGAAATGATATGCTGTAATTCTTATAAATCATAATGGAATGCTATCAGATAGATCTCTGTAGCGGTAGATAGCTCGCATTAATTGTTTTAACATAAATCCTTTGTTGCCTATTTATATACTACTTCAGTTTTCTGTATTTAGCAATTACTAGCTTAAGCGATTGATGTGAATTTTAAATTGTAGTGATAAAACGCTGCCACATTGTCTATCAATCTTTCATTAATTTTTCAATTAATTCTTTACGATACCATTTAAGTAATTGTCAGCCGACTGATTATGGGATGTAACTTAACATTCATTATTACATTTAATCTATAACTTTAAATAGATGTAAATGAATGCGCTAGCAATGATAATCCTTGCTTCTTTCAAAAGAAGCTTTGCCTCAATCTCAATCCGGGATATATGTGTCAAAATTGTCCCACTGGTAGTTCCTTCGATACGTTAATAAACGGTTGTACAGGTAAAGATTTTGCTCATTCACTAATGGCTATCATGTACAGTATTTATTTATTTGGTATCAGGTATTTTTTTTTACTGCATAGAGGTTTGATTTAGCAACATAAACTAAAAACATACTGCCTAGAGAACAGCCTTACAGTTAGCGTTTTAAATACCTTCAATATAGAGTTTATAAGTGCTCATGTTACATTTTTATCTTTATTGTACTTTCGGTTAAAAATCGGCGTCCGATAGCTGCCTCCACTTCTAGTCCTACTGTTGGTAGCAATTCCTCTGCTACATTGGGTGATCAATGTAAACATGATACTTGTGGGTCAAAAGCAAAATGTTATGATCAGCCGTTATTATCACCCCAATTTTTTTGTCGATGTCGCCAAGGCTACTATCAAGATAACCCCAGCGAATTACTAATTAACGGGGATGGATGCTTGCGTAAGTATAGTAATCTTGAATGATGAACTGTATGCGTACTGCCTATCCCTATATTTATTGCTATACTGTACACACTGATGTAAAGAAGTTGGTTATACCCAAGAGGTCCGGTTCACATAAATTTTGCAGGCTTATTAAAATAATTTAGGACAATAACATCTAAACTTCGTAGTTGTTAGTAATTATGCTACCGTTGTAGCTCGGTAAACTACTGCTATGCGTAACATACCGTAATAATCAGATGCAAATATCATATCCCATTAGCTGGTAGGTTTGTTGCTGGGTACGTGAATCTTAGACCTAAACCAAACCTTTTTAGTAATGTTACCGATGAAATGCTCAAGTCAGAGACTAAACATCAGGTTAGTTTAATCCTTCCACTTGAATAACAAGCATATTGTGCTTCCATGTTTAATTTTTCTCACCTCGTATACAGTATTATTCGATTGTAAATCTGCAAACTGATTTGATTATTTGAAAAATAGATGGAAAGTATGATTAGAGCACAATCAGGAATGCAAAATCACTTAATGAGGTCAACGCACATCTCTAACCGGTAAGCATGGTTATTTTTGATTAGAATTTAAAATGGACTTTAAAGATTCGATAACAAGTTACTTTATGCCTTACTTGCTCAACTTTTATTACCTAATTTCAGCTATGGCCAGGTATTAACGATTGATTTTCAGTTAACGCTTAAGAAGGAAGCTCCAATATCACTGTCGGCAATTCAGCAAGTATTAAGTGCACAATTGATGTCCATTTATACTTATGACGTAATAAGTGCCCAAGTGACAAGTGAACTTAAAGGGATCTAAGTACTCGTTCGATGAAGTAGCGTAAAATCAAGTCGGCTTTTCCAGATATTAATAGTGGCTGGTTCTTATAGCGAAAAGTGATATCGGCTAAAATTGACCTTGCAATACATTTTCGTGGATTAATTAATGGTCAATTAGCATGTAACTTTAGCTACATTACTAAAAAAGTAGAATCTGTAATTTCGCTTAATTAAGGTGCTTAAAAGGTATCATGGCCGTAGAATTCGGATAGCTGAGATAAAGTAAATTTCTTTAGTTTATTTTTAATTAATTTATAACTGAGTTTATGGTATGTGGCCTTTTTGAACGCCATAAATCATCTTGATGAGCAGTATCGTACGTTAGATAGTTTATCTTGTGTCGCCTTGATCACGCAAAATTGATTCACCGATACAATCAGTCTCGTAGTAATCTTGATGCAGCTGTCTTTAATAATTTATAAATGTATCGATCTTAATCGAGCATCCTATTAGTTTTGCTTGTTGTCATGCGATAATTTCTGATATGTATGATTAAATGCTATCGATTATGACTATGGTTTGACACTTTGATTTTAGATTTGTTATAAATTTATTACGGTATTCAATATTGTACACGGTTTCTGTTTTATCGGATTAACCGTGAAATTGCTGTATACGTATCCTCGTATATTCGTACGAAGTATGTAAGATAAAATGCTACCGTGCTAGTTTAGTAGAAATTATGATTATTTTGGGAGAAATTTAGCATCTATACTTTAACCCTTGTCTCGTAGCATTTGACAGATTTTTTTATTTACTGTTAAAATAATAAAAACATGATTTGGAATATCTTGTAATTTGAAACTAAAATTAACACATCAGCGTAGTAGAACTGTAGTAGTTTACAGGACTAAAAATATCCAACATTGCAAATACAATAATACTTGTGTTAAAGAATAATGTAAACTTAGAAATGTATGTTACCTACATTACCAGTGTAGTAAAGCCTACTAATCCTTTCTCACTTATTGAGTAGAGAAATATTTCATATATTAACGGTATCCAATATGTCTTTGACAACGTGTATAGCTAACTAGTTACCTCAGCTCGCCATTTACCGCACGGTTATGCACCAAGGCATATGATTTCAACTCAATTGGCAGTTTGATTCTTCATACAAACGTATACTGATTTCGCTGTGGATTTATTTTCACGATCGAACATCATACGAATTCTAACTTTCTGCTATAAATTGAAAGCGGAATGAAAATTATCAAAGGAATTTATTTTATCCAAAGATTTTTTCCCCATTTGATGATATTTAAGCACATCGCATATTACAGTTTTAATCTAGTTCTATGTCTGTTCTCCACTTGAGCCGTCCATAGAGTGCAAAGGAATTCATCGACTCATTTCAGAGTTTCCAAAATAGTTTTGCGCTATCCTGCTATACTGTCACTATTCTAGATCTTTTCTAGGCTTTTGAACCATTTGGCTTTGGCCGGTACAATACCATGGTTAAGGCTTGATGAAATCAGTTAAGTGCTGTAACTTAAATGAATGGTATTAAAAGATTAAATTAATTCCTTCTGCGATAAGCAAATAAGATATGAATCGATTATACCATGTTTCTCCATGAATAAAGAACTCTCCTTAATATTAAATCATATTCATATCGACTCATAGTTGTTTCCTTCCACTAGCTGCCATATTAGGATACTTTGCACTACACGGCATACATGCATGTTATACATTAGTTTATAATTAATTTATACATCATAGAGTATTATTTATTTATTTAGTCATGAAGAAGGGCACCTGCAACGAAAACCATGGCGTCATACTGGCTCATGACTGGCTATAGTAAATAATACTTTTGATTTGGCATTATTAATACATTAAAGTATGATCAGTGGCTCTCTCAGACTTTCTTTCCCTTTTGGTAGACCCATCAGACAAGTGTACACGGTAGAATACACAGTTTCCTATATGTGCCAATGGCCTACAATACTTCAAAATCGATTAGAAAGCTATCGATATTCACAGTTGGTTATGGTCATGTTATGGTATGGATTGCCGATGGGATAGCCTAAGGTGTCATTCATTTATGCTGACTGTAGGCAATTTCACCGGCAATTAATACCATAGCATGAATGTAAGATAGTCATTCCCCTGTAATATATCCGGGAATGCTTTACCTTGTAGAGCTGTTACAGCAACAATTATACGAGTAGTAACGGGAAACGACTGGATTTAGGACAGAGTGTGCTGTAGTATTGATTACAGTGGTGTCGACTGCATATTAGCTAGTCAAGCGTAAAAGTGGAGTCGCTATGCTACTAGGAATGTTGTGTTTGCTTAGAGATTAACCCATATGCGCAATAAAAGGGTGCAATTTTCCTTTACCTGTAAATCTACTATTTCTGATGTCGGTTTGGAATTTACAATATTGGTATGGTATTCCTCAACTGCATTGTGGACTTATTGTATAGCGTAGAGCCTAGAGGTAAAAGAAAAGGCTTTATTCTTCCACAGTACCTCTGAGCATTTCCTTGTACAGAAGGAGGGTAACAAGGGAGCGAGAATCGGATCGCTTGGTAGACTAAGAGGATGGTTAATAGTTGGCCTTGGGTGATTGAACATTCATACGATATTACCCAGGGAATTATTCGGAAATTTCTCTTATAAGTTCCTAGTATAGCGTACTATTATAGTTATGTATTATCGGAATATGATAGGAACGTCTGGCCTATTGAGATAGGAAGGGTTTGAAGTTGGGAATTGAAAGCATGCCCAAAAAGTATCGAATACGTATGTTGAATCGCTGTGACTAGCCGGAGTACCGAGATTATTCCTTTTAATTGATTTATCTAGTGGAGGATACTACTGTCAAAGTAGAGCATGTCCACCTGATAGTAGACTGTCCATTGACTCAACATTAAACGGCATGTTGGCTAGAGAAAACGCTGTTGTCCATTGAAGTAGCCAAATGATCAGTGGCGCCATTTGGCATCAGACACAAGAAACTGAAAGTAGAACATTTCCACATGTGACAATCTACTGTATCCTATTGGGCAGTTTGCTCAACAATAATGTTGATGCTGCCATGCTGGCATGTTGATTTATTATTGGATTGTCACTTTATTGACATGAAGTGGCAGAGTAGCTTGAAAGTGATCTAGTGTATTGTATAAGAAGCGAAGCGACGCTGGCATCGGATAGACTACCGTCTGGACGCAGTCAATACAATACAGTGTACAGTACACTAGTACAAACTACTCCAGTCTTTTTTTTAGTACTGTAACAATCTGGCCACCACTCTCCAGTACGGACATCGATCTCACTTTGTGCGTCATACGTTTGCACTTGAGTGGTTGTCTGATTGACGCTACTACTCTTTGTAGTCTATTATTGTGGTCGCATAGCGGGAATAATGTCGTCATCATTAGCGTCAACCATGGATGGATACAGTCTAAAACTTGTAACGCACCGACGATCGTGTTGATACAGTATGCAGACGACAATTGAATACTGTACTGTGCCACTTGGCGATGGCAGTGGGTCTCTTTCTGCTGTAAATTATCCATATTGGATCAGGATTAGTCAGGACAATTGGGGATTGCATTGCTAAATCCACCGTCATTCTTTTCTTTCATACTGTACACTGTAGATCGCCCTACTGTAGATTATCGCTCTGTCACTCACTACGCAAGGACACTTTAAAATCAAGGAGTTGCTACTTAGAGCATTTCATTCTTTCACTTATTCAGAAGAAGTTGGTTGGTTAGGAAAGGAAAATTCTCAGTGAAAATTCAGATTCATTAACGCCAATTGATTACCACAGTCTTGGATATATTTCCTTGTGGCTCCAATAGTATTGATACTGCTATCAATTGGCCATATTACGCTACCACGATGGATCGACTATTCCTACTCTTATTTCTTTGCATTAATCTCTTCAACTTGGCAGGTAAGCGCAATATTGAATTTCGTCTTGGGATCATTGCGTACTCAGTAGAATCAGTAATAGCAGTTGAAATAGTTTTTTGATAGTGGAAAAACAGACTAATCATGGAATTACTCCTACGAAGATGGATCATCATCATTCCAAAAATGTTAACAAGTCATCATTTAAATCTCGATCTTGTCAGTAGACTTCATTAGGTTATTGTTCCACCAAGGACCAATTAGTAGAAGACAGGATACAATCATTGCTTTCGTGTTGACTTTCATCCAATGCTGATCGTGATAATTGTGGTAATCCTTGCTTTGACGCATCAAGTCGTCAATGCACTATAACGGTAGACATGTTTCTAGCATCTTCTGAAAAAGACGGTCTTAAGAGAAAAAAAAATAGAATAAAACCGATATGAACGTTGTGTAGAATCTGGTAGAATTTTCGTGCAGTAGACGTATACGCGTAGATAGCGCAAGCGAACTGATAAACTATTATTTAAAGAATGACTGAACACAATCAGTGTAATAACTAAACCGTCAGCAAATAGTCTTGTTCAATTCAGTAGATTAAAATGAACCGATTAAATCAATAGGCTGGCCATAGTGGCTAAAAAAATCAGTCAATTTCTTGAAAAGCCAATTCACACTGTCTTGTCGAAGAATATCAATGTTTATGCATGGCGAAATGTTGATATTGTACAGTACGATAGAAATATCCAGCTATTGTTCATAGAACACAGATGGTCGCCATCCATTACTCTACTCTCTTAATCATACTGGTGATCAACTCTAGTCCTATTTTTGAGCACTTATCTTATTCTCTTAACCTTATCAACGTAGATATGCAGTTCATTAAATGAATTAGGTCTGTCGAAATAAGAAATGATCATCATTCTTGCTCTAATCAGAAGAGCAAGTACATCAATACTTCCAATAGTATTTATACGCGTGTTCTATTGGCTATGGCTATAAGTGTAGCGATCAGTTCTTGAAAAATAATCTAGTTTGGTGTAATTGCTTGTATACCGTACGCATGATGAAGTGGAAGTTAAGTTAATAAACTCAATTGCATTTCTTCATAATATGCTAATGTAACTGTTACATCCTGTTATGTAATCATCATTTTCAATGTCTTCAACGTGCTGCTTGGAAACCAGATAAAATTGCTATTACATCATTCTGCTTCTGGGAACTGCTGTTAGTAAACATTACACCCAGTACAGAGGATATTGTACACTGTACAGTAAAGACGCGTATGAGAAAAAATTTATAATTAATTAACCGCTTTTAAGTTTATTTTTTTAAATATACTGTAAATAATCAAAATTGTTTGATCAACCTAGCCTGATAGTATCAATCCAGATAGTATTTATTTATACTGTATAATAGTGGAGAGATCCGTCCAAAATCAATTTCCAACTGTAGATGCTGTACTACGGCTGATGATGGCAATAAATATCAGTAAAATTACCTTCACAGTCCTTAATAATCCTATTTGCATGTTGAATAAACAAATGTTACTATTTGGATATTTCAATCGTTGCAGTGAAAGCACCGTTTTCACGACCCTCTTAATACCATCGTTGACTGGAGGCCAACGTATATTTTGATTGTAATAGTTATCCGAGACGTGCTCACTCTTAAAGTATAACTTGCCAAAAAATCCGTTCGTAAATACTTGACGATAACTTGAAATAGGATCATAATAGTGCTGCCCACTATTGTATTGAACTTTGGTTAGATAGCACTGTCAATGTACGAATAGTTTGCTTTTATCTTATCTGGTTCAAGAAAACGACAAGGTATCATAGCGGGATGGTCTTTCTATCGATTGCAAAATCAAATTTTGAGTAGCTATAGTTTACTCTGTATCAAACAATACGAGTATAGCAGACAACATTAGTACTTGTACAGCGCTGCATAAAAATATTCCACTAAAATGATGAAAAATACAATAAAAAACTCCGAAATTATCAACATTCAACTCTGCCACATGTGATAGCGTCGATTGATAATATAATTTTAATTCAACTTTACGTAACGAAAATTACTAATATAATAACTGTTGTATTATTTATGACTCGAGTACTAAGCGCAATGATATACTTATTTGGAAATGGTAATTAACTTATTCTTCTTTACTTTGAAATATACAGATTCTTTTGGCATAGAACTTGACGACAGTTACAGTGCAAGGCGCGGTAAACCGTTTAGCGTCAAAGTTAAAATTGTAGGAGGTACACCACCTTTTAAATACCTCTGGAAATTTAATGGGACAACAGTTTCGACAAAGGAAACCTTTCGAATCGAAAAGGTAGCACTTCAAGATGGTGGTGACTATTATTGTCAAGTTACCGATTCTAAGAACAAAGTTGCCACAACAACTTTCACTCTGAATATAACATGTAAGTTTGCATTTTCATAGCTTTCCAAGCTAGTATTGATCGTAAACGATTAATTGAAGTTTTTAACAGTGGTGATGGTGATTATATATAGTGATTTGTATTTCATGCTGATAGAATTTTACTACATGTTGTATCAATTGTTTCTTGCACTATATTAATATACTGTATATAGATTTAGACACCACTGATTCCCAAGAAAAAATCAATGTCATTACGGTTAACCGTAGTGGCAATGCATTACTGGATGCTAGTGCCAATTGCTACACTAGTGGAATGATGAGAAACTGGAGTGTTACAGTGAGTCCAGACTGCGTAAACATCAATTACACCGACCCATTAGTGTCATTAGATACTGGTACTAACATGTACGAATTGCAAAATGGTTCATTCGTAATTGAAAATGTTGAAATTAAAGATCGCAAAAAATGCTTTATCTGTTCAATATTCTGTGGAAGCATACATGCCGAATTAAGATATCGTTTGAACGTAATATGTAAGTATCGAGATTTTAATATTTGCTGTAACGTAATTTTACGGTATCGTGACACGATCATGCGTATATATACGTGTATATTCAGTAGATCAAAATCTTAAATCCTAGCTATAAATAGAGTTTTGACCCACTATTTACTTAAGGCTGTGAACTCTATTGTTGACTATACGTTGTACCACTGCTAATTATAGTCAAATAATATAAAATTGTATCGTTATTTTCTATATTATAGACTTCAACGGATTTTCAGATTTCCCGAAATCACAGATAACAATCAATCAGTCTTCAACTTTAGACTTGAATTGTAGTGCTGATGGAAATCCGCCCCCACGTGTAGGTTGGTTTAAATCATCTGTTCAACTTGGTCATGGCTGGAAGTATGGTACAGCATCATATAAAATTGCCAATGCTACTCGAAATGCAACGGGAGTGTATACATGCAAGATTAAAGCTGGAAACTTTAATCCGGAATTATCGAACAGTACCACTATTGTTGTCCAGTGTAAGATTTACGTTCGCTATTTTTCTTCGTCGTTCTTGCGATATTGACGAATTATAGCATATTTATTGATTGTATAGCTGTAATCGAAGTTAATGCAGATCCAGATGAGAAACATTGAAGCCGTCATGCTTAATTCGCTATAAGATAGACAAAAGAATTACTTAGTAGTTGATGCACTTACTATAAGAACTGCGTATTTTATGTTTAATTTAATCAAGTAAAAATTATTTCTATTTTAATACAGATATTGATAATAAATTAATCTTTCATCGCACAAAGGCTGACATGCCTCGTCTGGGTTCGAAGTTGCCTTATGAGCTTAGTTGTACAGCGCAAGGCTATCCAGTTCCTACCTTTAAGTGGTATAAAGATCAGAAGAATTACGATAATGATGTAACCAGTCTGCCCAATCATAATACGAGTACAATAACTTGGAAAAGATTTACTGCTGCTAATAATGGTATTTATACATGTCAAGCTACCAATATCGTAAAGTCGGTTTCGAGCAGCAAAGCTGTCTTTCTTTATGGTATGCTTAGTTTTAAAGCTATTACATTTATACGTAAATTATTCGAAAATGAGACTACCACCTATTACAGTTTTGCTTTGTTCCAACGTAACCAATTTCGATTACCAGCTCAAAATCAATGGCTTGAACTAGTAAAAATTGGATCTAATTTATGTTAAATTTTTTTTAATTTTAAAATTCATAGAACCTGCTAAGATCACTGTTGCCCCTTTTAACAATCACCATCCTATACAAGAAGTGGAATTTGGGAAATATATCAACATAACTTGTTCAGCTACTGGTTTTCCAACTGCTGAAGTAAAATTAGAAATACAGGACAAAAATATGCATACTAGCGAATCCAATACGAAGGAGGGAAAATCATCAGCTTCCCTATATCACTTATTTGAAATGAGTGACAACAATTCAAATGTTATTTGCACGGCTAGTATCACTTTTCGAGGGCATGCCTATTTCACTGTGCGGAGCTCTCATCTTATAATAGTACGTAGTATGAAAGGATCACCTGTGGGTAAGAATATTACTATGCATTTGTATAGATGCAAATTGAATTTATAGAAAGTAGTAGTGTTAAATCACTTACAATAGTGCAACGTGTAAGCTGAATTGTTGATATTTCATTTTACACTCGGCATTTCATTGTTATGCTATACAGTTATCGCTACAAATAGTAATAGAAATATATTATGTATCCTTGTAATAAATTTAATTTGATAACTAAGATGTTGGTTTACTTTTCGTTAATTTAGCCACCGGATTGGGCATATTTTTTGGAGCTTTGTTAACAATTTTGTTGATCTATTTGATCTACAAGCGCAAATATAGAGTAATTAAATCATACTTTAAAAGAACTGGTAAGATTATTTGATATACGACATTCCATTAGTGTACAGAGAGTTTTCTACCATAGCATTTTATTGAATATGGCTATCAATCGATTGAGTGAGTTTTATAATCCTTAAATAATGGCTTATTTCAATAGATTATTCCAAAATGGACAGTACCTATGCTTCCAATGGTATTAATGGCTGTCACTCTGGTGATTCTCGTACTTATAAAAATAAAATTCCTTGGCATAAGCGCATGAAAGTTAGCGTTAATAAACTTCGTAACTTGGATATTGAGGATGATGATTGGGATATTCAGTGTCACGATGGAGATCAGGATCATTCAAGAGAAGTTAGTAATAGCGTATATCTAAATTGTTTTAGTGATAGTAAGTGATTTTACTTGTCATTTTTTTAGAACTATTCTTACCTAAATATTATTGCATTCTTTTAATAGGGCGAAAGTGGAGGGCTAATTTCTAAATCTAATCGAACAGCGGGCAATACTTTTTCCACGGACATTTAGTTTGAAGAAAGAACTATTCGTTGTAAATTTTTACTATTAAGATATTAATAGATCATTAAATATTGGTTGAATAATTATATATATAATGAGACTTCTAACAGCTAAAATTGCCTTATGTTTGGTATATTTGTAGTTGTACATTGCCAATTTTATAAGATACTTTCTCGTTTTTGATGTTAAAAGTTCATTAAGCTCAACGTAGAAATTTTGTATCGATATAGAGGATTAAACAAAATGATAACTTAGACGAGGCCACTTGCAGAGTGTCCATCTTTACTCTTAACTTATCGTAACAATTGTATATTGTCAAGCTTAATACTGCCAATCTGCTAGCGGTATTAGTTGAAATCGGTTACATTATTTTGTGTATAGGTACTACAGCTATCTAAAAGTAATGCATTTCAGCCACCACCACATAAGTATGTTATACAAAATGTAATGCAATTTGTTAAAGGTAGCAGCCGTTATGATTATTTTTTCTGTACTTGAGGTTAAATAAGCTTTTAGCAGTAAACTTCTTGCAGTATAAATATTATTAAGTTACGCCGAAACAGATTAAGAAGCCTTGTAACTAATATTTACTTAATACAAGATTGCGGTGCTATGACTTGAAATAAGTTTAAATAAATCTGGAGATATTAAATTTTATGTCTTCCTCTATGAATTACAATCTGTAGGGAGTAGGGAGGAATAAGTAATACTCTGGCAAGATAACTATATTCTAGTGAGTAGGTGCGTTGTATAGTAACTATTTGAGTATATACTAGTGCAAATTTATTTTTTTCTACTTTACTCTATCATACTACTGCACTACTATATTATCTAGTGCAAAATAGCATATGATAGTATAGTAGTAGGCGTAGTATACTATATATCATACTATACTTCAGCGAAGAAAAAAATCTATATAGCTTATACTTTTAATTATAAGGGCCGTAAGCCTAGCAGTGACTCAGTCCAGTAGAGCATAGTCATCTAGGCAGTTCATCACTGGACATTGACGTAGGTATGCTCATAGTAGAGTACAGACACATTATCCAGCAAGCATTAAATTTACGTAAATTTAACATTTACAGTAATGCGAATAAACTGCACACTGTTTGCGTATCTGCAAAATCCGTGTGTCACAAACCAGCTTCGTGACAAGGATAACGTAAAACAAATCTCTAAATTACTATAGTCTCCGGGATTCAGTATCCCTTAGCTACCTCACAAGAATTTAGACGCCTTTGATTCTACGTTAAACTCAACTAGACAATTGAGAACTATTTTATTCAACTATCTGACGGGTTTATATACCCTTCTACAGCAGCTAACAATCATGAGTCATCTTATAAAAATACTTGGGTGAGAACATCTACTAACTAATTTTTCACAGTCGGACTACAATATGTCCATTCACAGAATCATTTCAGTGCACATTACACCACAGCATTAAATTTACTGTAACACATTTACAATTAGAGCAATTTCTATTGTAAGTAACTAGTTGTAATATATTATCACTATATTATATTAACCAAATTTAGATAGCTATTTCTTCACGGTAGTTCGTACCGTGACACCGTGGATAAATCTTCGTATGGTGTACGCATATATCAGATATCTTTATAATGCGATATCACGTTGTAACAGAGATTTAACTATTTAGAAGACCAAAATCAGTTGAGTAGTAATGTATTTTATAAGTTAATTAAAGAACTATTATGTGCGGCACTTTTAATTGGCTTAATATCCAAATTTTCCGAAATTCAGCGGTAACAAAAATGCAAATGTTCGCCGTTTTACTTGAATGGAAATTTTAACATCGTATCATACTACCTGATAAGCTACTTTAAAATTTATCGTATTTTCGACATTAAGGTGAAAATTAAATAAAATCTTATCATTAATAAAGTAACTACTTAATTAAACTGGATTTGTTAATTTTTAGAAAACCACCGAAGTTCTATTCAGCTTTTGGAGAATTGTTTCGTTTCTAAGCGAGCCAGCTATTGCATAGGTTTATTCATCAAGTTGGTCACAGTATCCACAGGATTATGGTTCTAAATAAAATACAAGTGCATAGCAGACCAGTTAAAGTTCGACTCCATGATGTTGATTAAAGTTTGAAATACTTGGGTGTATGGGAAGTTAAAGCAAATTCCGTGGACTTTACTAGCTGATCGAAAAAGATCCATAATGTAACTCGTCGCTAATTGGTAACTTTAGAAATTTTTTCTAAAGGCTAGCCCGAGTACTAAATATCGACATTGCACCACAGTAGTCTATTGTGATTTATCAAGTAAAACATAGCTGATATAAATGATTGTATGTATTTTTCCGTTTAAATATCTAGTCTTCAGTGTAAGGTCGACTTTTATTACTGCACTTCTCTCATTGGCTGTACTCATTCTTTTTCTACGTACAGTACCGAGCCATAACATAATGGTTTTTAGCTACAGTGATTGAAAGATTTTTAAATTACTTTGATAGACTTTATGTATTCTTACACTTAACTATCAATTGAAGAGGTAAATGATTTATATCTGCTAGTATAACTAATGGTTAGATTAAAATACTAAAAAATATTTCAATTGTATTAACGAGCGATTTATCGCATTAAAGAATATTGCTAGAATGATGTTTAGCTATTGCTTAGGTCAAGGCAAAGTTCTATATGTGCATCTTGTAATATAATATAACGGAAAGTGGATACAAATCGTGAAATTGATATTTGGCAATTACCGTACATGAGAATGTGTAACGTTACCGAAATTAATTAACTTAAATAGTTATTGACGTTAGTATAGGTGATTCTAAATTAGTTAAGATATCTAGATAATTATAATAACGTTATCGACAAAAGGTATATGAAAAATATATTCAGTTATTATTTATGCTTTATATAGGAAAGTAGATCATAATACGCGGCACATTAGTGTCAGCAGTAGCTGCTAATGTACTAGTTAGGAAGTTTTAATTGCTGGTAAGGTATTAGAATACATTTTAAATAAGTTGTATACGAAGTAAGGTCTTTCTGTAATTGTTCGCTCTTATCCTCGGAATTATTAAATTGAAAATTTAAATGGTATGGTAAAAATTTCTTCGGATATTTAGATAATTGAGCTAGCAAATTTCATGGTTTCATTCACCTTCAAGATCCTCGTCATATGAATATCTTCATCTTTAACATAAAAAATATAAATTACTTTTAATGCAGAGAGATGAGAAACTTTTTTCTATGATCACTATTTAGCTTAAATTAACCTTAAGCATATAGAGACAATAAGTAAGTGCATGTACTGATGACATTGCTAAAAATTCTATTAGTACTCCGCTGCTTCATTTATTGTAACCATATGTTAGTATTGTTAATTAACTGTTCGCATATTTGATTTTAATATTTATAGTTCTCGTAACGGATATTAAATAGAATTTATATCAATCCCAGTAGGTGATCATATAGTTTCTTAAAAGAGTTTGCTAATAAATCTTTGAATTTTATGAGGATGCGAAATAATGTAAGTTCTAATCATACCATGATATAATATAGCCGCCTTAACTTTTGATTCTTGACTCTTTGGGCTATCAAACTTATTTTTATTTAATCTTTGGGCATTCTACAAGTAAATAACTTATATTGGATATATTTCGATGGAAATAGTTGAAATTTAGATCCAAATTTTGCACTGTTTCATCTCCTCGTGAAAAATACATACTAAGTACACATTTCCCTACCTCCATGGCATGCGGATAAGAACTGCCAGAAGAACTGTTGGCTTCCGAACTGTGTATCGTAGTGGAAGTACGCAGACCGACTTTTCTTGTTAGGGCTAGTCTAACCTGTAAATATATTTCACAATCAGCTTTTCTTGTCCTTCTATGCCTTAAATTTACATGATAACATCACAGACATACAGTAAGTGTTATAAGAGATTGATATAATCGCTTTGTTGTACCTCAGAATTTAATATGCAGTGAAATATGAAGAACAGGAAACCCTAAGACATGAAAGTAAAACTTTGCTCAACATTCAGCTTTTAGCAGATTAATTATGTTTAAAGCAAGGAATGTTTTCTAATTTTACCTGTAGTCCATTGAAGATTACGAATAGATAACTGAGGACTACAGAATGATCGTCTACTGAAATGATTCCGAATAGCCATGTGATTCCAAGAATAGGCAGCAAAATAAACGTGGCTTTCGATGCAACTCTACGTACCGGTATCAGCGGTAATAAGGGTTAGTCTAGTTGATTGTGCGTTTGAACAATTCATGCATGCAAACTTAAAGCTTCTACTTATTAAAACTTAAGTTTAATGAATTCTATACTTTTCACGAAAATTCTAAAATCTATAAGGAATTGTATTAAAAAGGGCTTATAGTAAATTAATTTTGCTAATAGTAATAATAAAATATGTTTTCATCCTCAGTAGAAAGATCTGAAATGTTTTTTCTAGAAATAAATTAATTATCATATATTGCAAGAAACACTAATAAAGTACCGTATACCGTATCAAAATCATTAGACTTCGAGATCAAGTAGTACCTACCGAACACGTCGTAACTCATTTCTTCTTTTCTGAGTTAATTGAAATTTTGATTTGTTGTATGTTATACGCACCACGGATATCAAGACTATAATATTGATCTGCGAAAAACATAGCAAGTAAAGTTGACTTTTTAAGTCGTTTTCCGGTGAAAGTAGGCTATAGACTTTTAATTTATCTTTATGTAGAGTAGCTGTATGCAATCTGGATTTTACTATGCAGTATGCATATATAATACTTAATTAAAATGAAATAATACAAAAATTTCATAATGTAGAGGATTAAAACTTACCGATATAACAAATAGGACAGGACCGACAAATGTCCAGATCAAACCATCATATACAGATAGCCAACAACTAGGTGAATATGTAACTGCCAAGTTAGAAACTGATTTATGCAAATTTACTTAATGATCCCTTAATCTTTTATATCATTTGATTATATTTAGCATATCGACTTACATTTTATTTTTTCCGTAACTTGAAAATCTCATACCTGCAGCGGTAATTGTGATAACGGCTGGTGTACCTGAAGATCATTGTATAGGAAAATAGGATACATTTTAGGTAAAATGAACTACTCCAACTTTACAGAGGCATACGAATATATTATCTATCGTTATAAGAATGCTTTCTCACCCCAGCCGAATATATAATACAGTTTTAGTTTGGAAGAAGTATTAAAAACCGAAATAATTTGCAAATATAGATGAAAGCCTTCCATTAGCATCCATGAAAACATGGAGAGTAGGAAAAAGTGCAATACAATGGCTATAACTCTGCACAGTTCCTATAATTAGGTTAAGTTAGAAAGCACGAGTTCAAAATTTTATACAGATGAAAAGCCATTATTTAGGAAGCAATAGGTTATAGCTCATAAATAGATCTATAAATCACTTGAAAGAAAATGATATAAAAAATTGCTACTATTCTCGTATCTAATCTACGTCATCGTGTAAAAGAAATTCAATTGATAGCGCTTACTTGAGTATTTTTAACGGGCTCAAAGTCGGTAAAAATAATGCCAATTTGAGATATTAGCATGGCAAATGCTAAATTGATATGAATCTGGTAACAGTCAACTTTGATTCTACAAGATATGATAATGTCGAAAATTTTATATTTCTTACATGAAGCAAATATTTATGAATGCCGCTGAATTAATTGTGATAGAAACGATATTCCAATAAATTACAGTCCTTCTACGCTTTTGAGTAAATATTTATGTACATCTTATTAAAATATAAGGCTTGATTAAAGTTTATTCTAATTAGAACAATGGATACTACTGTAAATGTGTCACTAAATGAAATTGTAGATTAAGGTTGTGAAATTATATCCTATAATCTAGAAGTAGGATATTATCGGTCTATCCCAAATTATGAGAAAGTGTTACGCTAAGGATGCAACATAAATCTTAGATATAAGGTTATTTACTCTCTGGTAGAGAAGAGAATTTTATTTCTAAGCAAATGTGATTAAAAGTATAGATAGGGATTGCAATACCTTATGAGCAGGTAGATCAGAATGGATAAGAATAGACATATAACCGAAATACCACAGCAAGCGTGTGTTAGCCATTGCAAGGCAAATAAATGTTTTTCTGTAATCTGAAAAAAAAGAAATTGTCGTTAAATTTATATCACTTAATTATTTTATAATTTCACCATAGATTTAGATCAGGGTTGATGGTTTGATTATAGGTATAATTACAATTATTCATGTTACTGCTGCATATTTAACTAACGTTAGCTGGAACAACGTTCATTAATATTGTAAAATGGGTTAAATGACTGCATTGACAGCGTGTGTGGGTTTTATTCCAAGTGATTACTTTGCACCCTTCACTAGACCACTGGCCAGATTCAATGTCTGAGGATCTAAAAAATTGGTGGCAACATTTTCACTTAAAGCATAGTTAATGCTAGTTATTGTATTTTATTTTGTTTGCTTATTGTGCTTATAATTAGAGTGCCGCAGCAAGAAGTAAAGTTTTATCATTTTTAGATTGAGCTAAAAATAATTGCAATGAAATGATTATATTATAACGCAATATATTGAGAGTGAGAGTAATGACAATATATTTTATGATTTATCAACTCTATATGGCTATAATACAATATCACTTTAAAGTAAACTAATGGTATGAGGATATCAAATAAAATTTTCCGTTGTAATATTCTATTACTGAACTATACTCTATCTCTTTATCTAATGCAAACATTTATAGCCAGTGAATCGGTATTACTTTATTTCCTTCAGATATTAGAGCCAACTAAATTAATTAAACATGATTTTCTAAAGTTGTAAGATTAAAATCAGACCTCTTTGATGCTGTGAAATTCCAGAAGACGCAACTTGGTCGATAGCTATCGTTAAAATCCGCCTAGAAAAATTTGAAATGATGCAGATTCTTTTAAAATTAAATTGCCTTCGGCAATAAGAGAAAATTGAATTAAATATGATTCACAATTAGCATAAGTACTTTGTTATAGCTCATTCCTCACAATTTGCACTGATTAATATATCAATCAGATTAGATATACTTCACTTACATTATCGTGCGATATAATAAACAAAAATGGATTTGAGATGCTCAACTGTGGAGGAGGCTGCATTGTACAGCCTAAGATCGGCGAATTTATATAATTTTGACAATCCTTTTGTGTTGTTCTAGTTTGGTAACGAATAGTAAATATTTTATTGGATAAATTAACTGGTGTTTCATGGTTCAGAATTGATATTAAATAATATTTCAATATTAAAATTATGCTCAAATTAGATATGTTTTACTTGTTAACTTCCGGCGAGAAAGCTTTGCTATTCATTAACAATTGCAGGGAATTGTATGTAGTAATTGTCATTACTACGTTATCGGCTGTAATAGTGAAATAAATGGAATTGGCCAAGTATAATTGGAACGGGTGAGAACTTGTATCAAAGTTAGCTTGCAGAAAAGGCTGTAAGTGAATTAAGTTATTTCAATCTATACATATGCCTAAACCCTTACCACTTTCGTTGGCTAATGCGGAAGATGGCATCATTATCTCATAATTACTAGCAGTAGATGAATAGTTACCGATATTGGATGTTCTGGTAAATCCAACTGATCGAAATTGGATTGGAGAATATTTTTGAATACTAATAGCTATTGCAAACCGATAAAATCACAAAACCTCACGGTTAGAAATAGTAAGAAATTGTCGCATGCAATCAGTTTAATTAACAAATAAAGAAAATTCTACAAAAATTTGAGCTAAGTTTGATCAATATCTTTATAAGCTTGAAATTTCTGTGCGGATAAATAAATAATTATTCAAATGAAAAGCTATCACTATCTGTACAATTACTTACATAAATCCGGAGATTCATATTCAAAAGAGCCATTTACAGGCAAAACTTTACCAACGTTCTCAGAAATGACGTCGGTTAATTTCAAAACACTAGACGCCATTGCAGATTGCTAATAATTTTTAATATATTTATCAATTGAAGGCAATATAACAGGGGTTACTTTAATATTACTGAATGCTAGCATATATGGAAAGATGTATGGCATGCTAGTTCAATAACCTTGGAAGCTTCTTTCCAGGCATTCTGATGATTTACTGATACTACAGAGCTAACAGAATGGAGCATTGCCTTCATGAAGTAAAATTGAAAATTATCTTAGTATCGAAGTTTTCAATTGTTTAATAGTCCTGCTTATCTGCCATAAATCAAAAAGTAAAATGGAGTTCAAGAGAAGACCATGAACAACCTTAAAATACGCAGGCCTGCTATCGGATGGTATAGAGGCAATATATGTTTCTTGGCTCAATTTCGTTAAAACAAAGCTTGTTAGTATAATATCTCCCGACTTTTTTGTTGCATTATGGTCCAGAGCTTCTTGTAATCGATGAAGCATAAGGGTTGCTGTACCGCCTGTGGTCTGTGCTTCCTTGTTTAGCAGCTAAAAATACGGTTTCATTAAGGAGTCCAATTTACTATGAGCAGCTTTACAGCTTGTTTAAATAATACAGCAATAGATATCAATATAAAACTGAACCTCATTATAAATAAATTGGAAAGACGTGGACAAATTTCCTTGATCGAGGTTTAGTGTCGCTGAATAGTTAGCTGTGGTATTTACTTGCCATAAAGGATTTGAAGTAGGGCTGAAATGTGTCGTTAAAGTACTACCTAATAAAGATGCTGATTATAGTAAAAATTTTCTAGATTTTAGATATCGAGAATAAAATATCAATTCGAACTTGTAGTCAAATGTAAAATAGGAAATCGCTAAAGTTATGGTATTTTATTCTTATTTTATTCTTATAACTACACAAGTATGGTACTACAGACTAATTATTAAATTTCAAAACCTTTAATTCCAAGATCTACATTACTTAGGAACATAGGTGCTGTAGTTGAATTAAGATTATGGAACTGAATTTATTCTTACAACTTGATTGCTCCAAATCTGTAGTTACACTTGGTGTAGTTGTTGAGCTTGAACTAGACCTAGAAGCATCATGAGAATCGGTCAATTTTTCAGTAGCCGTTGGGTCGATATAAATCCCATGTAGGATATTAGAAGGAATTAAAGTTGATGAAGTCGATTGTAATGAAACTGTTACATAGGCTTGTGCACTTTCATGTTCTTTTTGTGACACGCCGTTTAATTCTGACATGGTCAGTGCCGATTTAGTTGTGTAGAGCGAGTAGTATTCTGAATCTTGAAGATTTGCTGTGAAAGTATCCTCAGTCTTTGTTCCTAAGTATGAGCTGGACCAGCTAGGATATAGAAAACCTTCTTCTTGATCCTGGCTAGACTCACTACTTCTTTGATGAGTTACTGAAACTGCAATTGACATTGCCGAGGTAGTTGAAAGATCATCATGATCTGTATACTCACTATAATATGTAGGTTTTAAAGGAGATGAAAACTGATGTGTTATAGGTGTTTTTTCATTTGATTGGCCAGAATGAATTTCTTCGGAAATGGAGGGTGGGTGACTTAAACTGGACGTCGAAATATTTTTTTGAATCGGATCTCGTAAATCCAGTGTTATAAGTGCAGGTGCGAATATATTGTCATCATCGGCAATTAGAGTAGAATTTTGAAGTAAATCTTTTGTGGTAGAAGCTAAGATATCCTGGTCGAAGTTTTCAGTGATCGAAGGATAAGTCACTGTAGAGGATGTTGAATGATGATATGAATATGGTTTGGCAAAACTACCATCAATAATTTCGACAGAAGTAGACGCTATAATCGATGAAGAAGTAATAGAAGCCGATATAAGATCATTATTGGTTGTTAAAGTATTCAAAGCAAAGCTTAAACTATTATTGGCAAGATTACTAGTCGTAGTCGTAGTCGTAGTCAATGCAGTACTATTCGTGGCATAAGTAATAGCGATTGCAATAGTATTGGTAGTAGTGGCAAATGCAGTCAGGGCGGTAGTTTTATTAGCGCATATGGTTGTTCCGATAGTTGTTATTATAATAGTGGTAGTGTTTGCAGCTACAGCGATAGTTGTATCTGTAGTTATTGGCAAAGCTATCGGACTCGTTGTCGCTGTAGAAATAGTTTTCGTATTGGTAGTGATGGTATAAGTCATGATAGCTATATTACCTGTTCGTTGCGAATATAATTCATGATATGTCGTCGATGTACCAATATAATAGTTAGATGATTCGCTTGGCAGATCAGATTTTGGAGTTGCATGATGAACCGTTAGGGCAATGCTCGAGCCTGTATTTACATAGTCAGTTGCTACAGACATCCACTGGGAGATATTGACAGATATTCTATGAAGGGGCTCGGTAGCAGAAGTATCTATAGCATGCGATGGCAACATTTGGCTTGCACTGCTAGTTGTACCATTAATAGACGATGTAGATTGAGAAGCAGCTAAACTTGAAGCTATAGATGTAAATAAAGACAAAATATAATTCAGTTCATATTCTGTGCAAATCTCAGTGACGGTATCTGATAGCATTTGCATACAGAAGGTATTTCGTAATAAACAATTCCTGGATTGCTGAACAAGCTTGATAAAATCAGGAATAACATAATGATGGGAAAGGTATTAATACTTATTGCAATATAAATTGAAATAAACACGTAACATAAATCGAAATTTAGTTTATTGGTAAATAAAACTATCGTTTGTAAATCATAATTATTAGTTTTTCGCGTACTTAAATGATAGCTATCTATTTAAATGGAAACCATCTGTGCGAGATATATAACAAGGATACAATGTTATGGAAGTATCACGAATTTTACGAATAATCTACACATCGTACAGGTATATGAAAATTAATATTTCTAAATTGAAATTATTATTTGCTCATGTGCTTAGATGGAAGCCATCTAGGCGAGCTATACAACAAGGACGAAAGATTACGAAAGGATCATGAATTATACGAGTATATGTACTTCTGCAGCGTCAAATTTGTTTGTATTACTGCGGTATTTTCGTCTATTACGTAATAAAATTATCATAAAGGATTTAATAAACAGTAGATGAGAGCAGTTTGATCATTACAATGTTATATTCAAAACCACATCCCAAACTTGGATGAACTTATAAATGGATTTAGATGCATATTAAGATCAGTTTGGGCTTACCATGCGAAGTTGTGACCACAGTAGGTTGGATAACTGAGGACGAGGAAGCTAGGAAATCACATAAAACTCAGTCACTAAACTGAAGCTATCAGCAGCAGACTGTTATCATTATGAGCTGCCTTTTTTAGTTAACGATCTTTTCAAAATTAAAAAATATTCCCTAGTTTTCATTAGATGTTTGCCTTAGCGATCAAAGATAATTTATACTTACTGAGTGTGAGCGATAAACTTAAATGCGAAGTAGAAAGTATTTGAATGGCATCTACGTAAAAAATCATTCAATATAAATATATTATGATATGCAATCAAAAGAATTTTAATTATTGGCAAAAGAGGATAGAAATGGCAACCACGGTACCGAGATGAAGTACTGACAGATATGATTGCCCTCAATATCATATGGTGCTCTCTATTCGTTATAAAGGTGTATTGTAAGTCAATTTGATTCTAATTTTTCTGCTTTAATTTGTTTAGCAATCTAATTTATAATATAGATAATTTAATATTGACTATAAAAGCACTAAATTGACTGATTTATGAAAGCTATATCAATTTTGCTGTATTTAGATAAATATCTTGAATTTCACTGCCGTGTAATCTTATGAGTATACAGTTCTAGTCTGTATGATATTCATCACCTCTCTGGCAAAATGCATATGCACTGCCGTTACACTGTCGAGTATACCAAAACCATGAGGCACTACCATGTTTAATGTAGACACAATCATTGTCACCATCACTAGGTTCTAGAGTTCCCCAATTTGTAAAATGGACTGCAGTTCGATTATTTTGAATCCATACGAAGCCTTCAGAGCTGTTTCTATTAAATACATCTCGTAGACCGATCCAATATTCACGATAAATATTTAAATTTTGCGTAGCATAAACCATTTTATGCAGCGTATCAAGTTCAGTTAAGTTTCCTCCTCCGTTCTGGTAGCATTCAAACATGGCCGAGGAAAATTTTGCTTGGCCGCTTTCAATAGGCCCATAGCATAAATTATCATAGGATATGTAGTTTAACGGACAGAAGCTCACGATGTGACCTTTAAAATCCAAATGTACGCGTATATCAGAGATTAGTTATCAGACCTACTGATTAAAAATACCCTAACGAATTCAAAAGTACATTCGTCTGAATAAGGTGCACTTGACCGTATTACATCAATGACGATCTCCATAAGCAAAATGTACCGGTAAAATGAATCTATCAGCCGATTATTTTATTCGAAGTAGTTATTAATCATCAAAGAAACAAATTCAAATTAAGTATAGTCTTACTTGCGGTGACATGGTAGTGGAGCAGCCGATAGATGAAAAAGACCTAGATGAAATTTCAAGCAATAACATTCTGTTATTAGGACTGATCTTAATTTTTCATAAGCTTACAGAAGCTAATTTTGGCAAGCAAGCAGCCAGTATATAAAGAAAAAACCGAAAAGCAATTCATATTTTACATGTGCAATGACTGAATTTCTTAAGCAATCGCTTTATTTTCGAATTTGTTTATTTTTTATCGCGCTTATCACCAAAGATTTAATAAAAAGGTTAAAAGATACCGTACTGTACTTTTCCATGCACTCGGTAAAAATAAGGTAATTATGAATTTCTAAACTCCTTCTGCTAATATTTGATATTCACACTTTAATCCAAGATTTTAACTCTTGTATTACGATAATACTTCGACTCGCTACAGTGTAGAAACTTTGACCGTCCGGTATCGATATTTTAGGCCATAGAATAATCTGATGCAGGGTTATGAGGAATATTATAACATTTCCAAATGCTATCTTAAATATTCTTACTTAGAAAGTACTGATAGAATTAGTAGTCCTAACGTAAAAAATATTCTGTGAGACACCTTCCCAATTGAATTAAATTACGTAATTAACAATTCCTCTAAGCGAAGGTCCGCAAAATTAGATCCTATCCAAGGTTTAACGTGAGAAGCTTCATAATGATCTTTCTACTATTTAAGTTCGTTTCTATCAAATGGTAATACTATCTGTTAAATGAGCGCATTATCGTAAACCGTAAGCAAAGCGAAGGGAGTTTGCACTAGTGCTACTTGAAAGCTAGTCGCTACTTGAATGTCTAGAATTTAGAAACAACGACAATAATTTTGACCAAACAATTGCCCTGCTTCAAAAATCTATGAGGACGTTCAAACTTTTAATTAAAATCACCTATCTATACGATACTTGTATCTGATTTTAAAGCATAAGCATATTTCTACTTGTCGAATCAATGGAGAATGGCTTCCGTGTTTGATTCCTAGACTGTTAGCAATCTATTTGAATAAATTTAAAAATGTTACACTACCTAGCGACAAATTACAGTGTGACCAGTACCAATAAAGCCAAAAGTAAAATAAGAAACACTAAAGAATTGACTTTACGAGTACATGTAACCATTAAGTAGACATATATCGCCTTTCTTAAAAATTAACAAGTTCTTTGTTGGCTAAAATGCGACGTAGCATACCCATATATAACCTACTCTCTAATTTATTTTTTTACATTGCAAATTAAAGATCTTTCTACATAAAACAAACTATTTGAACATTGGCGTTTGATCCTGTTTTGAATCAATTTTTACCCTTAAAATGTTTCTAATGCATCAAATATTCAGCATCAAGACTTCATTTTAGCTTTCATGCTGTAAAATATATACTTTCGAATCAGTTTTAATTTTAAACATTAACAGAACAAATTTTTTAATTTATTTAATGTAAGAATTAGCAGTATCTTATATCAATTTTTTTATATGTAAGAACTAAATTATATTTATACGCGTAATTGAGGCAGAGTTAAATTATATTATATAAATATTATTACCTTTGATCAATTTATTGGAATAAAATGTTTATAAGTCGAATTCATAATCTTACTTTCAAATACTAACTACAATGTCCAGACGAATTTTATTTGAAAAATTTCAACTTAAGCAGAACAATGTTATTTATTTTACTACAAAAATACTGACTTACCCATATAAACGGTATAAACATCATGGATAGCGGTATTAAGAGTGAAGATTAGGTTAATTTTATTGAATGCTTGTATACAATTCCTTGATGTAATCGTTGCTTATTATAATATATCATAGTTTAAACTGGTTTTAAAGTTCTAGTAAGAACAGTGTCTGTACGAATACCTGATTTTTTACATACGATAAAATTAAGATAGAAATGTCAGGTATCACAACGTAGGTAGCAATTAGACGATTGATGCAAGTAGCTATTACGAAAACTCAGCCAAACAACTCGGTTTTAGCTCAACAGATTGATGAGTATATTTTAAGAAGTATATTAAGGGTACACCAGTATCAGCATACCAGATTTAGCTAATTTATCGGAGCGAAAGCTAAAATTACTTTCCTTGTAGTTTAGGTTCATAATAATTGAAAGAGTTCAAATTGCCATCGTTCTGTAGGTATTATATATTCAATATTTGATGTCGGTCTAGCTGTGCTATAACAAATATCAGAAATACTTATTGCATGCATGTGGAAAATAGAAAGTACGAATCATCAGAATAAAAGATTTCAAAAGTTTATTTATCAAGATTTTAAGGAATATTGTTTTAAATATAGATGAGTAAATAATATAGATAAAAGATTACGTTAAAAATAAAATATTCAGTTTTAAGAAGGAATTTAATATCAACTTTTAAATTCATAGACTAAGCAAGCATTAATAATTTATACATATCTTTGTAGTGTTTTATGGCACAATCTTTTCAGTATTACGATTTTTGTTTTCACATAGGATATTAGATTTTATTTTTAAAATACAAACTAATCTAATATTCAAAGTCTAAGTTAATTTCTTACGAGTTACTAAAGTATTTTAATCATTTAAAATAATAGATGCAGTAAATAGTTTAAATGTGCAATAATACTATATAGGTTTAGTGAAAATGGTTGCTGATTAAGTTAGAATTATAAAACTACTCTTTCGGATGGGGGTATATGAATCATTTAGGCACATAATTTGTAAAAGATTAAAGGTTGATTCGTACTATTATCATTAGCTTTGTATTTGTCACAATTTATGCTTAGTGGTAAGGAAACGTAACTTAAAAGCCTTTGAGTAATTACTGAATTTGAAGCTCCTTTACCAAACATTAAAAACACACGGCAAGGTAACGTAAAGATAGAACTTTTATTAGGATAGGCACTTCTATAACTTTTCACATATTCACTGCTAAACTCAAAATGTTCCATTTATATAGGAATCTTCTAAATTGTAAATAACAGCAGTATTATTATTGGACCATACTGGAAGAGACATCTCCAGTCGTGATGTTCCTTACATAGCTTNTTCGTCAGTAAATATTTTTAACTTATCATTCGTATTTAATCTTAATCTAAGCAAGTATGTTGTCTAGTTCAGCTATCATTAGCTGAAACTGCCTATGTCTAATTACAATTAGAAATAGTTCCTACGTTAATAAAGTGAACAAACCTTATCTGAAAATATTAATTTGAATTCTTTAAACCGTGAAAATAATACAACTTGACAGGGATATGGCATTCCCTATACTTACTACAATTCATAACAGTTTAAATATTTTAATATATGCAGCGAAGTGGTATTGAGGACGATCATCATATTTCCTTTTTAGGTTAAGCCTAAAGTAACATTATAACTTATTACATTAGAGGAATACAACATTTAATTCATAATCATTATCAATCATGATCATTTAGGTTGATGATCTATAAACAGTAATATGTGTGAAGGATGAATCAATCTTTCAATGAATAATGTGAGCATATTTCATTTAACTTAATGAATCTATTATTATTTTAATTAAAATAGAAATTTGTATAGTTATTTATGTACCCTTGCAGTTTATTTATATTAATAAATAATTTATGGCGTTAGAAAAATATCAATTACAAACGTAATTCTTTTTACGGTCTACTTATTTAACTGAATGCGATATCATAATATAATTAAATTGAAATTTAAGCAGTTACAGTAAATTTTTTTGAGATACTGAATATTTAATAATATATTTTTGGTACGTAATAATTTATTATACAGCATGTGAACAAAGAAAGTGGCAAAAGCTTTAAGCAATTTCTCAATTTGATCTATCGACGAGTATTAATGAACAATTTGTTTGATAACTTCAAGTTAGGTACAAAAATTATTTGGATTTTATGATTTTTGGGAGTATGAGAAATTATATTTACTTTCGTACATTTTGACATCTTATGTTTTTGAATCAAATAGTAGCGTTTTTAGATCAAAATTTTGTAAATTTTCCGTATATAAATTACGTTAGAGATTTTGACGGTGCATTTTGTATATTTTTATCTTAATTTATAAATCTTAATTATAATTATGAATATAAATAGTCAAAATTACAATCAATAGAAAAAGGGAGTAGTTTATGCTGCGATGTACCAAATTATGGAGATATAGGCAAGATACACTACTGTAGTTTATTTAAACAAAGTAAAATGAATATCTACCTAATGAGGTCCAGTCTGTTCTGCAAATGCATTCATCTGTGCTAATACCATAATTAATACGCTTAGACACTAATCATAGCATGTCCACACTATATTATTGAAAGAAAAGTATTACCTAATAGGCACATTCACTACTCGGAAATCTTTTAAAAATAAAAATTTCACCAACCATATTCATTATATATTTGGTAATGGTCAGAAAAGGGCAATTTTGGGTATTTTCTTGTATAATACGACTTAAATTGACGTAAACAAGAATGATAGACTTTAATTTGAGCAAGTATCGCTGAAATAATTTTGCTTACACATCGTATCTACAATGGAAATATATAGACGTAATAAAGTATCTACATACATTTTCTCTTAGAGGTATAATATTCGGGTTTTCCTTGAGGTATGTAAATGTAAGCATTTAATTTTTATTTGACCTGAAAAGCATTATTGCTCATGCAACTAATTTCATCTACTGAGCTAGAATCTATCTTATGAAAGGGATATTACCCGTAGTTAACGAAAGAATGTCATGAGCTAATAACTTATGGATAAAGATACCGTAGCAACTCTTCGATACTTTATGGTAGTAATTATCAGTTTTGCAACCTAGTAATTGATTATACTAATTTTTACAGTCTAAAATTGCGTCGGATATTGCAATAATTAAACCTGTTGTGTAAAATAAACCTTAAATAGATTAAAGATTTAATAGGTTGAATTTTATTCTTGTTTAATTAACAATTAGTGATAACGATAGAATAAAATCCTAAACATTAGCAAGATAATATAGTTTTCTTTCTATTTGTAACTTGATATAAAACTACTAAAACTTCGAAATTTATATACGCATATGATTAAATATTACGGCATTTGATTTTGCTCCTTTAACTACCTCACAAGAATTTAGACGCCTTTGATTCTACGTTAAAACAACTATACAATTGAGAACTGCTTTATTCAACTATCTGACGGGTTGATATACCCTTCTACAGCAGCTAATATTCACAAGTCATCTTATAAAAATACTTGGGTGAGAACATCTACTAATTAGTTTTTCACAGTCGGACTACAATATGTCCATTCACAGAATCATTTCAGTACACATTACAGCACAGCAATAAATTTACTGTAACATATTTATAATTAGAGTAATTCCTATTGTAAGTGACTAGTTGTAATATGTTATCACTATATTATATTAACCAAATTTAGATATCTATTTCTTCACGGTAGTTCGCACCGTGACAGGTATATAAATGCGATAAGTCGTTTAACAAAATTAGTTCTTGTGACAAGTATTTAACGTAAGATACGAGGCGTCGAAGTCTTTTTGTAGTCTACTAGTATGGGGAAAGTGTTCCTGAAAGAGTAGATACTGCTCCCTGATATGTGGTTCAGGGAATCGACTGTTTGATCGTGCAATACGTTATCTTGTTGCAAAGCTGTTTTGTAACACTCATCTAATCAGAGAATTAGATATTTCAGTAAATCGGATATAAGAACTCGTTTTTAATAATTTTATCAGTAACATGATACAATATGATAATTCTGAATCGTTCCTGGCATAATTGTTAACTGATCTGACTATAATTTTAGTATTATCGATATAATAGATACTCATATTAGGTGAATTTTTAGAAAGACTGTTTATCGTAGCGCCCAATACCGCGATCCAATTATGAGTGCTAGCCTAAGTACTAGTGTCGTGTTCAGCCCACGACAAGGAAACGTCACAACTAGATAGCAATTATTATAGTACATAAATTGCGATGTCTTAGATTTAATAAGAGCAATTAGAATTGTTGTTGAAAATATTTGAATCAAAATATGAATATACTTACAAACTGAGCTAAGTTATTAAAGCAAGAGACAAGATTAATTTAGAATTATAAAGCTAAAAATATTTAGGTGTTTAATATTTTTAAAGTACATGATTAAGTTAAGACTAATTGTATCCGTAACATATCTTCTGAGCCGTTCTCTGTATAACAACTTGCTAGGAATAATTTAGTTAGATTCTTAAATCTGAATACCTTCAGTATTACAAAAGCTAAACGAATCATTATACTGAAAGGAAGCTTACTCGAGCTAGCAACTAATATCTAATTAGTAGCTTTGATTCTGTGATCTAATAGATCCGTAGTAGGAAAACAATGTGATCGCGGCTAGTTGATTTCTAAATTATAGTCTTTCCACAGCGGTATTACGCTTTTTCTAATATCAAGACGAAATAAATTCTCGCTCATTAAAGGAAATCGAAAATAGATTGCTCGCTGTAATATATATTACTTAATGATGGATTTCGATAATCAATATCATTACAAAGTTATTAATTGTTATTAATCACCGGATAAATTCTTGTCATTTGGATATCATCATCTATTGATAGGAAAAGACAATCAGGATAAAATGTTGTGATTTTAGTATAGCATGACTTATTTGAGATGTAACAGTTTCAGACTATCAACATCGGTAATTAATATGCTAAACATCAAAGAATGATGTATTTCAAATACTTGAGTCACTTTGCTTTTTCAGTAATTCACTTATGAAAGTCATCCTATTAGTATTTTAACTAATGATTTTAATTTTGGAATTGTACTACATACGAAGGTATAAACATTGAATTCTTATAAAAATTTTGCATGTAATCGAGAAAAGCAACGTTAGTTAGAATGATTACTGCGGAGTCATCATCATCCTTTCTACGGAATCATTTGCAATCTTGATATTATAGTCACTATCTAACTTCTGTATCCTAACTTTGAGTTGTTTGACTGGTGAAAATTATACATACGTACAATAATGATCTCATGCACGAATTAATTTTAGAAATATTAAGTCATCAAAGCAAGCGTATAAACCTTCATAAATTAAATTGCTGTTGGAGCCTTGATCCTCTGTTACATCAAATTCTTCCACATTAGATGATATCTTGATCTATAATTATATTTAGTAAATTATGAAATGAAATTGCTTATATGTATATACGATGAGGTATTACTTTAGTAGTATCATTTCGCCAAATAATATAGATTTAAGTTAAAATACTGACGCTTTTTGCTATGAGAACAGTCATATTAAACGACTTTGTAAGTAACACTATGACGAAATTGTAATTGAAATATATTTAAGAAATGTTATACCTTTGGATGTTTGCGGTTCGATGTGCTGAGAGCAATACTTTGAGAGCCAGTCGATGAATTAAAACCTACTCTACGCATAAGATAGTGTCGAACCTAATTTGATGGGAATGATCGTTGTATAAAGGTGTTAAATTTAGTAAGATACGGTAATTACACTTAAATGATAATGTTAATATGACGTTTTTTCCTATAAGGAATAGGTATGTTTAAAAGTATAACAATGATACATACTTCAGAATTA